AGTCCAACACACACCCTCTCCTCCATTGTCTTAGCCTCAGTGCTTGGCATAATCACAGAGTTGCTACTGTTCAGTCGCAGTAGGATCAATGTTACAGAAGACTTTGAAGTAATACGCATAATACAAAAACAATTTTGAATACAAGCTACAAAATTCACCTTCTCCATAAAGCAAAGGTTTGAGCAAATAACATATACTTTCTTAACATTTTCTAACTTGAATTTCAGTAAGGATGATGGGATCCTGAAGTTGTTTGACAGTTTTCACTAACTGATATCCTTTATCTCATAGAATCATAGAATCATGAAGTAGGGTCGGAAGGGACCTTGCAGATCTTCAGGTCCAACCCCCTGCCTGGGCAGGTAGAAAACTGGGCTCAAATGACCCCAGCCAGGTAGGCATCAAGCCACATCTCATATGACCAATCAGCTTTACTTCTTCTGATTAAAAGATTTCCTCGAAATCTTGATTTCCCCAAAATGGAACATTGCCAGAAAAGGGAAATTAAGGGAGAAAATATTCAGTAATTTGTTGTCCTATTTTATGCCCAATGAAAAAAGAAAGTTAGGATTTATAAGCTGCTTATGGGTAAAAATAAGAAAATACTGAACAGCTGGTTTGCAGTTCTTCACCTACTTCTTGTTTTCAGACTAGGTTTGCTAGTTGGTGGTGTAGGCATGCAAATATTAGAAGTACCTGATGAAATCAACATGGACACTGAAAACACTTGCCTTTAGCTAAGTGACTGACAGTCAGATTACCCTTTTTGGAAATTAGATCAATCTTTTTATAGCTGCCAGCCTACAAATATGCCTTGATATATATTTATAATGAAATATTCCTGGTAAATAATTAAAAGCATTGAATATCTTGTTCGTAAAAACACCACTTAATGTAGCACAATTATTTCCAAATTGAACAAGCTGTTATTAAATGCAGATTGATTCCATTGAAAAGCAAATCAAACCAAAGAAAACCAACCGAGGAATATACACAAACATATTTGTATTCAAATTGCACCTATTTGATTGCCTGCTCTCTGCCTGTCCTTTCAGAGCACCTGACAAAGTGAGCCATTGCTTATGAAAGCTTATGTATCTCTGATTCAATTAGTCTATAAACTTCACCTCTATTTCTGCCTTCTACCTGACTTCAGACCAACGTTTCAAACTACCTCTCTCTGCTTAAGAAAATGTATGGTAAGTGTATTCTACCCTGAAAAACCTCATTGCTGACTGCCTTAGAAGAAAATGTACTTCTTTAAGATTTGCTCAGTAGTTTAGAAGAATATCAAGTCACAAGTGGATCAGCTTTGTTAAGAGCTTATTCTTCACTACTGGGAAGCCTAATTAAAATATTTGTTAAGTTTATGGGGCATACCCAATATAGAAATGAGTCTCAGGAAGGCCACACTTATTCAGTTATGGGTCAGTATAACATTGATCCTTTGTCGCTTGATGACAGACTCTCTCCCCTCACAAAACAAAATCAGTACCTTACAAAACAAGACACCCCCTGCCCTCTGCGCTCATAGAGTGCAAGGGCTGGGGCTTAGGCAATGACATGGTAGGGGACCTACAGATCGGTAGCCATCTGGGGGACAGCGATCACCTAATAATAGAATTCTTCATAAGACGTCAAGTGGGTAAGGTAACTAGTAGGGTGGAAGTGCTAGACTTTAGGAAAGCTGATTTCAATGAACTCAGGCGATTAGTCAAGGACGCACTGCAGAGTAGGAGTTTTGAAGTGATGGGAGCCCAAGAAGGGTGGCTGTGCCTTAAGGAAATGATCCTTTGGGCACAAAGGGAGACAATCCCGATGCGAGGAAAAAGAGGGAAAGGGGCCAGGAGGCTTCCTTGGCTGACCAGAGAAATCCAGGGCAGCCTAAGGGCCAAAAGGGGAGCACATAAAAAGTGGAAACAGGGAGA